ATGATCAAACATGAACTAAGGTAACTAGGTGCAGTAATGAAAACATACCACTACAGGGGGACAAGAAGAGAAGAAATGGCATACTGATAAGATCAATAATGAACACAGTTTATAGTTCTGACAGTATTGTCCAAGGATAATTATAGGACAATTTTCAATTGTGGACTTCAAAGACAAAGTCTAAGAATTAATTCTAATTTTATACAACATAAACATACTTGTGCATAAATACGTAAAGGGAGTGCTTGCAAATGCAAAAGAAAACACATGCTCTACGACAGTTAATTCTAGAAAATAAATGAACTCCAAAATGCAAAGAAATTTTTAGAACCAGAAAGATTTTGTATGTGTGTTCTGTGACAACTCAAACATTAAATTCCTATTAAGTCCTCCCTGTTTCAACATTCATAACAAAAACACTGCAATTCTATGATTAAACACTGTTCTGCATAAACTTGGTCACTTAAAAGTGTTCTTAGACCATCAATAAAAAGAGCAGCAATTGCTATAACAAGTGGAACCCTAACGAAAGCCAATACCACACACACACACACACACACACACACACAAAATGGTTTACATTGCAAGATCCAAGAATGCTTAAATCATTTTTTCTTCTGAAATAATTAAATAATTTTGGGGGCACCTGGGTGGCTCAGTTGGTTAAGGGTCCTACTCTTGATTTTAACGTTTATTTATTTTTTGGGGGGACAGAGAGAGACAGAGCATGAACGGGGGAGGGGCAGAGAGAGAGAGAGGGAGACACAGAATCGGAAACAGGCTCCAGGCTCCGAGCCGTCAGCCCAGAGCCCGACGCGGGGCTCGAACTCACGGAGCGCGAGATCGTGACCTGGCTGAAGTCGGCCGCTTAACCGACTGCGCCACCCAGGCGCCCCCTACTCTTGATTTTAGCTCAAGTCATGATCTTACGATTTGTGAAATGAAGCACCTCGTCAGGCTGTGGGCTAACAGCATGAAGCCTGCTTAGGATTCTCTCTCCCCACATCTCTCTCCAGCTCCCACTCCCACGCAAGCATGGGCTCCCCACTCTCTCTCTCAAACATTAAAAAAAATTTTTTTATTAAATAAAAATGGGGCACCTGAGAATTCTTTCCAGTTCTAGAAATAAGATCATCTCAGCCTACCTTCCAAAGAGGGCCTTCATATCGTTTCAGTGCTTTGTAGATGACCTATTGAAAATATGTTTTCATTAAAAATGCCATCTATGTATTTCAGGAATTCAAAATCTTTTTCTAAAAATGATCATATGCATGTAGTCTATTACTACGTACCTTATTACCAATAAGAATGTGTTTCATTTCAGCACCCTGGGCAAGGTCAAGGGGTTTCTGATCTGTGTAAAATACAAGGAAACAAACCATCAAGAGCTTAATTGTATATAACATGGATACTGCCATTACAGCATGAATATTCTTTCACTATTCCAACAACCACACCTGTCTCTTCTCCCCCCACATTACCCACCTGAAGTTGCCATCTCAACTCTTTCTGGCTTCCATTTTGGTAGCTAACTACTAAGCCAGCAAGATTAAGCTCAGAACACTCTGTACATGTTCTGTGATCCTTCAAGCCTTCTTATACTTTAAATCACTGAATTGGTTTCTCATGGCTACTAAAACAAAGTACCACAAACTTAACTGCTTCAAATAATACAGATTAATTCTTTTATAGTTTGGGAGATAAGAAATCCAAAATCAGTCTCACTAGGCCAAAATCAAGGTGTAGACAGGACTGCATTCCTTCTGGAGGCTCTAGGGGAGAATCCATTGCCTTGCCCCTTTTCTGGTTTCTAAATTTTGTGTTTGTTTATTTTTGAGAGAGAGAGAGAGAGAGAGCGCGCGCGTGAGCGAGGGAGGGAGAGAGGGAGGGAGGTGTGTGGGGGGGGAGGGACAAGAGAGAGGGAGACATAGAATCTGAAGCAGGCTCTAGGCTCTGAGCTGTCAGCACAGAGACTGATGTGGGGCTCCAACTCAAACCATGAGATCATGACCTGAGCTGAAGTCACTTAACCAACTGAGCCACCCAGGCACCCCTTTTCTGGTTTCTAGAAGCCACCTATATCCCTTGATTTGTGGTCCTCCCATCTTAATTAAAAGAATTATTTATTTATTTATTTATTTTTGAGAGAGACAGAACATGAGCAGGGAAGGGGCAAAAAGAGAGGACTACACAGAATCCGAAGGCTGAGCTGTCAGCACAGAGCCCAACACAGGGCTCGAACTGTGGTCCTCCTATCTTTAAAGGGCATCACTCCAACCTCTGATTCCATCTTTACGTTTTCTTTCTCAATGTTCAGATTTTCCTTCCCCCTGCCTGTAAGGACAACTGTGATTACACAGGCCCCCATGATAATTCAGGATTATCTATCTCAAGATACTTAACTAATCGCATCTTTAGGGGGCTGTCATTCAGCCTACCACAGCCACTCTTAAGCTGCTTCACCAGAGAACAGGTAGCAGAGAGAGATCATAAGCAAAGAGTGTGATGGTCCACAGTTGAGGACAAAAGAAAAAGTGATAATGGAGAATGAAACCAGCAAGGCATTATAGTAACTTTTGCAACCTTATTCATGCAAGCACCCTATGTTTTGCCAAACAACAAAAACAGAATTTGTTAAAAGTTACTTATTGAGCTTTGAAGTGAGCAGGATGCTGTATGAAATAAGGTCGCTTAAAAAAAAAAACAACCCAAAAACCAGTCACCTTATAACTTGGGAGTAGAAAATGGCCCTTTCAAAGTAACATACCTGACCAGAACTCTGTTTATGCAGTGAGATAATATATTCTATCAAATAACCTTTTTATAAGTACCAAACACCTGGCATGTGTTGGGCAGTTTTTTGTATGAATTTCTCCTAATAAGGGTCTATTATGCACCAATTAATATTTTAGGCACTGGGGATTCAGCAGTGAACATGACAGAAAACATGGGAGGGGGGCAGGGAAGGCACAGAAAAAGGGAAATAGTAAATTAACAACAATTACATGCCAGATAACAAACTATGCTATGCTGATACTTTATAAGTGAATGGTGTGATGGAGAATGACTAGGATACCACTTTAGACTGGAGAACTGGGCAACTGATCAGGGTAGGCCTTTGTGAGGAAAAGGTATTTAAATTGAAAGGAATGATCAAGGCTTGGGAAAATATAGGGAAAGGCATTCCAGTAAATGGAATAGCTAATGCAAAGGCCCTGAGGTGGAAACAATTTAGTGGGCAAGAGAGGTAGAAAGTCAGAGAGGCAAAGAAGCGTATTACGCCAGGGCTTTGTAGGTCAGACCTTTCTGAGTCAGTACAAGGGGTATGGGTTATTATAAATATGATGAAAAGTCACTGAAGGGTTTTAAGAAAAATAGTACACTATCCAACTTATGTTTAAAACTCTATCAAAGTGTTAAATATTTAAAAGTGTAACTGGGGAAATGCAAACTTTGGCTCCTTGATGTTTTTTTAACAACTATGTTGAGATATAATTTACATACCATATAATTCACCCATTTCAAGTGTACAATTCAGTGGTTTTCAGTATATTCAGAGCTGTGCAACCATCATGTGGTTACAGGTTTTTTTTTTTAAAGAAGCCCTTATCTTTTATAAATATACTGAAAAATTTTTTTAAGATTTTATTTTTAAGTAATCTTTATACCCAACGTGGAGCTCAGACTTACAACCCTGAGACCAAGTGTCACATACTCTACTGATTGAGCCAGCTAGGAGCCCATACACTGAAATATTTATACACAAAAATAACATAACTGGACAGTGGCCATTATTGAGAACTCCTGGAGACAGAGACACAGAGGGGGAGGGAGGGAGACATCAATTAATTCTATTATTCTATTTTTTAAGGCTTGATAATTTCCATAATAAAAACATTGTTTTTAAAAATCACCATGGCTACAGTGTGGAAAATGCCTTGTGAACATGGGCAAGAGAAAAGTAGGGATAATATGTACAAAGCAATATCAATAGTCCAGGTAAAAGATAATGGTGGTTTGGACTGCAGAGTTAGTAGCGGAAAATGTGGAGAAAAATTCACAGGTTTCAGCTTCTAGAGGTAGATTTATAGGACTAATGCGTAAAACTTGGACTGATTATATATTATTGCCTTAGTGGGGAAAAAACTTTTTAAATTAATAACCAGTTTAGGTTTTCTAGCTAGCATATAGGAAGAGGTCTTAAAAAAGGTCTGCCAACTGTTATTTTTATTCTATCTACAGGGCACTTTTGAGAAATTATTCCTTTAGGTGAAGAGGAGGAGAACAATGTGATTTCTTTCATGGAATTCTGCCCTAACCCCAAAAATAAATTCTGAACTCCTGCCAACTGAAATCCCAGCACCAAGCCTTCATTTCTAGATTCAGTGCCTAAAGTGCCTGGCAGACAGTAAGAATCAAATAAAATGAAATAGCCTCCCTACCTGGAGAAGCATCATAACCAGACACTTCAAAATCTCTTATCAAGCACAACAAAATAAAAAACAGAAATGATCCAATATTTACATTTGTACATGATATACATTTGTCCCTTAATGAAAACACTAAGTGTCAACATTCCTCAAAGGGATTTACACAGAATGTAATTTCGATAACATACCAATGGTATTTTTACTAGGAACCTAAAAAAATTATTTTGAATGCCATCTGGGAGAATAAACAGATACGAATGTCAAAGAAAATCCTCAAAAGAAAAGGGAAACCTTACCACATATTAAAACATTACAAAAACAATCATTAAAAATGAGTTACTTGTGGGGCGGCTAGGTTGGTTAATCATCCAACTCTTGATTTTGGCTCAGGTAATGATCTCATGGTTCGTGGGTCTGAGCCTCATGTCAGGCTCTGCGCTGGCAGCTCTGAGCCTGCTTGGGATTTTCTGTCTCCCTCTCTCTCTGCTCCCTCCTGCTCGCACTCTCACAGAAATAAACATTAAAAAAAAAACTATTGGAAAAAGAGATACTTGCAAAAAAAGAGGCAGATGAAGCAATGAAAGAAAATAGCAAACAAATTCTTAAAATGTAGGAGAAAGGTATAAAAAATGGAAAAGGAAGATTGCTTGATGAAGGATGTAAATAAAGGTAAGTGGTCAGCAATTTGAGAGCCTCACATCCTAACACTCTCACATGGCGTTTCCTATTCAAAACCCAGCAAGCACACCAACAAATGGGGCTGGGCCTCTGGCTACTTTCCTGACCTTTCCCCTCTCCCCAACTTGCCCTGCTCTAGGCACCCGGAAAGCTTTCTTCTTCAAATATGCAAAGCACTCTCCTCTCCAATCCCAGAACTTTTACAGTTGCTTCCTTTGGTTTTCAATACTCTTCTACCAGATTTCCTCAGGGCTCGCTTCTGACTCACTGCAGCTCTGTGCTCAGGGAGGTCTTCCCTTACACCCTTTCCAAAACAACAGCCCCCTACCCCATGCCATCACTCTCTATCCCCTTCATCCTGTTTATTTTTCTGCACCTCACTGCCTGACATTATATGTGTATTTACACCTTATCTGTCTCCTCCCACTAGGATATAAGCTCCCAAAGTGTGGAAACTATCAGGTGTTGTTCACTGTTGGATCTCCAACATCTACAAATAGTTCTTGGCACAGAGTAGAGGCTCAGCATTTTTGCTTAATGAATGAATGTGATTACAGATAAGCTAGCAGAAAACAGACTCAACTATTTACTAAATCTCTAAGGCTAGAAGTGTTCAAAGAAACCAAAGAAGAGGATCAATAAATTTGAATAAAAATGGAAAACATCTTAAAAAAAAAAAAAAACTGCGGGGCGCCTGGGTGGCGCAGTCGGTTAAGCGTCCGACTTCAGCCAGGTCACGATCTTGCGGTCCGTGAGTTCGAACCCCACGTCAGGCTCTGGGCTGATGGCTCGGAGCCTGGAGCCTGTTTCCGATTCTGTGTCTCCCTCTCTCTCTGCCCCTCCCCCGTTCATGCTCTGTCTCTCTCTGTCCCAAAAAATAAATAAACGTTGAAAAAAAAAATTAAAAAAAAAAAAACTGGGAAAATTTAGTCTTAGAAAATATAGAGATAGATAATCATCCATATTGTGGAGTTTTGGGTGGTAAGCTGTCTGAGCACTGCCCCTTCCACACCCCAAGGGTAAGGCCCTAGCAGCCATGTTTGTACCATAATGTCCCGCCCCCAGAGTTCCAGCTGACTGTATCAGAGGCAGATGTCTAACACAGCGGGTGCCATCAAATTATCTCCCACTGGAATTTAAAGCTGAGCTTAGGAGATCCTTGTCTACCGAACAGAGTTCAGGGCTGCCATCTTCTAGCATGCATGCTGGAAAATGGATCTGCTAAGAGGCAGAAATGAGACCAAGCAATGAGAAGGATACACACACAATGAGTGGCAATCTTCTTGGTTCCTGACAGCTTCCTGGTTCCTGATTCCATCCCTTCTGATGCCTGCTTTTCAATACCATGAGACACTTCTGTATTTACACTGATATTAATAATGTATGAACTTTCTTTTATTTACACTCTTGAGTTGGTATTAAACTTTATTTTTTTAAATCTTTGAGAGTGAGCATGTGTGAGTGGGGGAAGGACAGAAAGAGAGACAGAAAGAATCCCAAGAAGGCTCTGAATTGTCAGCGCAGAGTCCAGATGTAGGGCTCAATCCCATGAGACATGAGATTAGGACCTGAGCCAAAATCAAGAGCTGGATGCTAAACCAACTGAGCCACCCAGGTGCCACTATTTTAAACTTTAAAAAAAAAAAAAAAAAAGCCTAGTCTACCAGAGAATAACAGCTAAAAGGTAAATCTTTGTGGATTTTTGGGTCATAGGTGATTACACTTTGTTGGTGCCTTCATCTTCCTCATTTCGAACATAAACAAGCATTAGTTTTGCAGTTAAAAAAAACTGTTCTAATGTAGGTACTGAAAATAAATTAGAAAGTTATATAATATGCCAAAGAAACAGAGGTTGTATTTGTCATTTATGTTTTTCCTATTTTTAAAACTTTCTATAATGCAGACAATATCACCCTTATGACTTAAATACTTTTTCAGAAGGCTCCATCTTGACTTTTATCAAGGATACTTTAACACTTGGTTACTAATAAAACAACAGGATAAAAGTGTATTTAAACACCAACAATTAAATTTTTCATGTTTACAGGGATATTTCCTCAGTTTAGACTGATATTTGCATGGGACTGTTAATTCTAGTTACATTGGAATGCTTTTTGAATCTAAATTTTGAAGGAAGAATCATTATAAACCACCACATAGAAAAACTATTCAAGTCTTTGGGAAGTTGGTAGAGACAGTAGGAATGGTACCATTAATATCAATTTTTGTTTTTTTCTTATTCTTTTAGCACTTTTAAGAATTATTCTGCTTAATTCCCAGCTAGGAAAATAACTTTGGTTTGTAACTAGTAATTAGCAGATAAAATTTAAATTCTGTACTGTAGTTGTTCCCATTGCTCAGTAGTTCATAGAGCCTAGTAGGGAAGTCCTTTCCATATATCTGTACCTACCGTCCATTACTTTTAAAAGCTGATCTTTCAGAAAAAGCCTGAAAAGACCACAAATACATGGAGGTTAAACAACGTGCTACTAAACAATGAATGGGTAAAACAGGAAATCAAAGCAATTTAAAAATACTTGGAAAAAAATGAAAATGAAAACACAATGGTCCAAAACCTTGGGGATGAAGCAAAAGTGGTCCTAAGAGGGAAGTATAGAACAATACAGGCCTACCTCAAATAGACAACCTAACCTTACACCTAAAGGAGAAAAAGAACAAATTAAGCCAAAGTCAGCAGAAGGAAGGAAATAATACAGATTAGAGCTGAAATAAATGAGAGATTTTTAAAAAATGTTTAATGTTTTATTTTTTGAGAGACAGAGTGTGTGAGCAGAGGAGGGACAGAGAGAGGGAGACACAGAATCCAAAGCAGGCTCTGGGCTCTGAGCTGTCATCACAAAGCCTGAAGTGGGGTTTGAACCCACAAATGCAAGATCATGACCTGAACCAAAGTCGGACGCTCAACCGACTGAGCCACACAGGCACCCCTAGGAATTAAGAAAAAAAAGAAAAGAAATTAAAAAAAAAAAAAAATGAATGAAATCAGAGCCAGTTCTCTGAAAAGAAATTAATAAAATAGATAAACATCTAGCCAGACTTATCAAAAAGAGAAAGGACCCAAATAAATAAACACAAATGAAAGAGGAGAAATACACAGAAATACAAACAGTTACAACAGAATATTCTGAAGAACTATAGGCCAACAAATGGAACAACCTAGAAGAAATGGATAAATGCCTAAAAATATATAAATTACCAAAATGAAACAGTAAGATACAGAAAACTTGAACAGACTGATTACCAGCAAAGAAATTCAATCAGTAATCAAAAACCTCCCAAGAAACAAAAGTCCAGGACCAGATAGCCTCACAGGCAAATTCTATCAAACCCTTAAAGAGGAGTTACTATTTATTCTTCTCAAACTATTCCAAAAAGTAGAAAAGGAAGGAAAATTTCCAAATTCATTCTACAAGGCCAGCATTACCCTGATACCACAACCAGATAAAGACACCACTAAAAGAGAACTATGAGCCAATATCCCTGATGGACATAGATGCAAAAATGCTCAGTAAAATACTCACAAAGCAAATCCAATAATACTTTTAAAAAAAATCATTCATGGGGCACCTGGGTGGCTCAGTTGGTTAAGTGTCTGACTCCAACTCAGGTCATGAACTCACAGTTTGTGAGTTCAAGCCCCACGCTAGGCTCTATTCTGACAACTCAGAGCCTGGAGCCTGCTTCCAATTCTGTGTCTCTCTCTCTCTGCCCCTCTCCTGCTCGCACTCTCTCTCTCTCAAAAATAAACATTAAAAAAATAATTTTAAAAAATCATTCACCATCAAGTGAGATTTACTCCCAGGATGCAAGGGTGGTTCAATATTCACAAATCAATCAACATGATAAATCACATTAATAATACATGTAAAGAACCATATGATCCTCTCAATAGACGCAAAAAGAGCATTTGACAAAGTACAGCATCCATTCATGATAAAAACCTTCAACAAACTAAGTTTAGAGGGAACATACCTCAACATAAGAAAGGCTGTATATGAAAACCCACAGCTCACATCATCCTAAATGGGGAAAAACTGAGAGGTTCCCCACTAAGGTCAGGAACAAGACAAGGATATCTATCCACTCTCATCACTTTTATTCACATACTCCAGAAAGTCCCAGTCACAGTATTTAGACAACAAAAGGAAATAAGAGGCATCCAAATCAGGAAGGAAGAAGTAAAACTTTCACTATTTGCAGATGACATAATACTATATATAGAAAACCCTAAAGACTCTACCAAAAAACTATCAGAACTGATACACAAATTCAGTAAAGTCACAGGATACAAAATAAATGTACAGAAATTTGATACACTTCTATACACCAATAATGAAGCAGCAGAAAGAGAAATTAAGCAATCAATCCCATTTACAATTTCACCAAAAGCAGTAAATACCTAGCAATAAACCTAACTAAAGAGGTGAAAGACCTGTACTCTAAAAACTACAAAATGCTGATGAAAGAAACTGAAGAAGACACCAAGAAACCAGAAAATATTCCATGCTCATGGATTGGAAGAACAAGTATCATTAAAATGTCTATACTACCCAAAGCAATCTAGATATTTAACACAATCCTTATCAAAATACCAACAGCATTTTTCACAAAGCTAGGCCAAGTAATCCTAAAATCTGATGGAACCACAAAAGACCTCATATGGCCAAAGTGACCTTGAAAATGAAAAGGCTGGAAGCATCACAATTCTGGACTTCAAGTTACAAAGCTGTAGTGATCAAAACTATAGAGTATTGCACAAAACAACAGACACACAGATCAAGAGAACAGAACAGAAAACCCAGAAACGAAGCCACAATTATATGGTTAATTAATCTTTGACAAAGGAGGAAAGGATATACAATGGGAAAAAGAATGTCTCTTCAACAAATGGTGTTGGGAAAACTGGAGAGCAACCTACAAAATAATGAAACTAGACCACTTTCATACACCGTACACAAAAATAAACTCAAAATGGATTAAAGACCTAAAGACCTGAAACCATAAAAACTCTAGAACACAGGCAGTAACTTATTTGACATTGGCCATACCAATTCCTTTTTAGATAGGTCTCCTGAGACAAGGGAGACAGAAGCAAAAATAAGCTATTAGGACTTCATCAAAGTAAGAGGCTTCTGAACAGCAAAGGAAATAATCAACAAAAGTAAAAGGCAGGGCACTTGGGTGATGCAGTTGGTTAAGCATCCAACTCTTGATTTTGGCTCCGGTCATGATGTCACGGTTCATGAGTTTGAGCTTCACAATGGGCTCTGCGCTGGTAGCATGGGGCCTGCTTCGGATTCTTTCTCTGCCCCTCCCCTGTTTGCATGCTTGCTCTCCCTCCCTCTCCCTGTCCCTCTCAAATAAACATTTAAAAAAAAAACCCAAAAGACAATCTACAGAATGGGAAAAGATATCTGCAAACGACATGCCTGATAAAGGTTTAGTAAATATATAAGCAGCCAAAAAACAAGTAATCCAATTTAAAAATGGTCAGAAGATGTGAACAGACATATCTCCAAAAAAGACATCCAGATGGCCAACAGACACATGAAAAGATGCTCAACATCACTCATCATCAGGGAAATGAAAATCAAAACTAACATGAGATATCACCTTACACTTGTCAGAATGGCTAACATCAACAACACAAGAAACAGGCATTGGCGAGGATGTGGAGAAAGGGGGAACCCTCTTTCACTGCTAGTGGAAATGCAAACTGCTACAGCCACACTGGAAAAAACTGTATGGAGTTGCTCAAGAAGTTAAAAATAGAACTACCCTATGATCTAGCAATTGCACTAGTAGGTATTTACTCAAAGAATAATAAAATACTAATTCAAAAGGATACATGCACCCCAATGTTTATAGCAGCATTATCTACACTAGCCAAATTATGGAAACAGCCCGAGTATCCCTTGATTGATGAACGGATTAAGCAGACATGGTATGTGTGTGTATACACATACACACAATGGAATATTACTCAGCCATAAAAAAAGAATGAAACCTTTTCATTTGCGACAACATAGATGGAGCTAGAGAATATTATGCTCAGCAAAATAAATCAGAGAAAGACAAATACCATATGATTTCACTCATAATGTGGAACTTAAGAAACAAACACGCAAAGGGGAAAAGAGAGAGAGAGAGAGAGAGAGAGAGAGACAAACCAAAAAACAGACACTTAACTATCAAAACCCGCTCGCTACCAGAGGGGGGGATAGGTGAGGGGGTAGGGATTAAAGAGGGCACTTGTGATGAGCACTGGGTGTTATAGGTGTTGAATCACTAAATTGTATACCCGAAACTAATATTACACTATGTTAACTAGAATTTAAATAAAAGTTAACAAAAATTAGGCTTCAATGTTAAATCGCTAATGGCTACTAACTTTAAAAGGGAATTATAGGGGCGCCTGGGTGGCTCAGTCGGTTGAGCGTCCGACTTCGGCTCAGGTCATGATCTCACACTCCATGAGTTCGAGCCCCACGTCAGGCTCTGTGCTGACAGCTCGGAGCCTGGAGCCTGCTTCAGATTCTGTGTCTCCCTCTCTTTCTCTGCCTCTCCCCTGCTCATGCTCTCTCTCTCTCTCAAAAATAAATAAAAACATTAAAATTTTTTTTTAAATAATAGGGAATTCTAATTCTTTTTCCAGCTTTATTGTTTTTCATCATTTTTCAATGGGTATTATTGTTCTCATGCATATCTTTCTACTTTCATTATATAGAAATGTATTCATAAAGTACTTTTAAATGTTAAATATGGTATTAATGTTAAAATAAGGGTATACTGTATCATTCTG